GGCCATCCCCGCCCCAGAGGCGCCTCCCGGCCAAGCCCCCTCACCAAACCGCGCCTTCCTGGTCCCCCGCGCCTTCGCCCGGGCAAACCGGCCCGCTGACGCTGAGCCATATAAGCATACGGCGACGTGGCTGAATAATGTGGTTTATAAGCAGAGAAATCAATTTATTTCTTACTCGGTGGAGGTTGGCGAGCGTGGGGCTCCACCCCAGCTTGCCGTCCCTGCGAGGCCACAGGTGATGCCCCACTGGCCTCCCGCACCAGCCTCCCGCACAGGCCTCCCGTACCAGCCTCCCGCACCGGCCTCCCGTGTGCCTTATGGAGGAAAGCACCGCTTGGTTACCAGCACAAACCCGTATTTTGCAAAGCCAAGTCCCTTCCATGTGCCCAAATCTCTGCCTAAGCCATCAGCCTTCCTTCCAGTCTTCACAAGTTTTCTACTGAGTAAGAAGTGTTTGGGTCTACATACCTTTTAGGAGGGATTTGGAAACTTTCAGGTTTTATTTATAGAAAACAAAATTTTACTTTTTAGAGCGTTTAGCCTTCATCGAAAACATGACTTGAAGAAAATTTCAATGAGCTTTTCATACGGGAAACCTGAGCGGTGATGCCATCCACTCAGCCTGGAGGGCTGCACCACCCGCCACTTGGGGACGAGGGTTCCCTGCGTCTTTCCTGGGGTGTAGGGTGAGAGCCATGATTTGGAGATGAATTCATATTATAGGGACCTTGAAGTGTTCGAAAAGCTGTAATGGGATATTCAACAAATCTGTACACTATAGAAGTTTTGATAATGTTGACTAAATGTGGCCTGCAGCCTTCTTAATGTAATAAATTAAGATAGCCATATTAAAGCCTTCTCTTAATTGAGAAGTAAAAGGAAGTATTGAATAATTATCTCTTTTGACAAAGTTTCCAGCTCCTGAATGCCTCAATTAGTCTCTTTTTTTTTTCTTTGCTTTTGATATGTGTGGTATATTCTATGCTATATTTGAGTATACAATATTCATTGCACATATAATGCATGCAGTTAGACAGTTGTATGTATAGTATATAATTATGCAATATAAATCTAACTGTATTATATACTGTCCATTGCATGGATATTCTATAACAGTGCTGAAGTTACAAAGCCTCCAGCAAGGGTCAGTGTATCTGTGCATCAGCCACTCCACCCTGCATATTATGTTACAGGTATGTAAGCACCAGAGAAGCTGAGATACAGGCAAATGTTCTATAGAGTGTGATATGAAGGCAGTTATTTCTGGGAGCCACTATGCCATGATTTGATTTATCCTCTTTTCCCCGAACGCTTTTAAAATGTGATCATTTCCAATTATTTGAGATTTTTTTGTTCTTTTCAATTTCTGTTGCATCTTTTATTTTTTAAATATATGTTTGCTATTAAAGCTACAATTCTGTGATGTTTTTAAACTGCTTTTGAGACATCAGCCGGAAAACAAAATAACTATAGAGAACTTCATCTCAGTTCCCTTTGATGCAAAGCTTAGAATCTACAATGCAAATCATTAGAATATTATAACTGCAAATTTTGCTTAACCAGCATTTAAGCTAAATGAAGTTGGGCTGTGTTTTAAAATGCTGTTTTGAAATGGTGGATATCTCTGTATTTGCACTTTTCATGCAAACCTACCAAACATTGCCACAAAAATTTAAGAGTACACAGGACGCAGCAGTATCTGAATATCTTTCATGGTCTTGTATGTTCTAAGTATCCTTAGGTAGTACCTAATACCTAGTAGCCATTGCTGTTATATTTATGCAGTTGGCCTAGAAGGGTCAGCAATGAAAGTACTGAGTATAGGAGTTATTTCATCCTGCCCAAATGTGCAATAGTTGTGACTATGCTAACCAAGGAATAAAGAGAACTTAACACCTGAGAAGCAGTGAAACAAGGAAACAGTAGTACTTTTTACTGATATTAAAAATAATGAGCATCTTATTTTGCATGGCTTACATAATGACTAATTTTTTTCTGAAGATCCGTGCATTAGTTTACTGGGAAGTAAAGATATCCAGGAGCCTCAAGGTTTTGCGGTATTTCAGTACCACTTCAGGGTGCTTTGCAAGGACACAGTGTTATATAATCTTGTTTTATTTGTTTTAATTCTATTGCAAATTCTGATGTTAATGAAGATATTAATTATTGATTAGTGTATGGTACTACATTGGCCTACAGTTTTATATGCTTTGCATGGATTTTAGAAGAGTGAAAGACACTTAATCCCAGAGCTGTCCATGGGTTCAAAGTGATTTGCAAGCAACAGCTCATTAAGATTTGGATGATCAGTGAAATTAATGCCATGCATAATATCTGAGATGTCTCGGAGTGAATTGATTCCAGGCACAAATCTCTTTGCTTTGAATGAGTTGAATCAGAGAGAAATATGTGCTGCTGTGTTCTCTTCTAATGCCCTGAAACACATGGTGCAAAGAAGACGTACATAGTTTCTTCTGATCGTCACTTAGTCCATGATGCAAAAAAGTATTTGATGGTTGATTAGCCAGTTTTAGACTCCTCTCCAATTAAACTAGATATATTCAGTAGGGATACTAAAACATGTCTTTTTCTTCCATGGGAAAGTCTTGTTTATCACTGCTGTGGACAGTCACAATGACCCTATGCACAAACCATGCCATGAGAGTCTCTGAAGACAATCCTTTTAAAAGGGCAAGGACACATAGACACTTAACCTGTAGCTGAAAAAAGAAGTACCACCACTTACCACATTGTGCACATGAAACAACTTCTTCCGTGTTTGCTTCTATTTCAACAAGAAAGCAAACACTTTTATTTCAGGTGTTTGCTATCTGGGCTTCACGTCACCCTTTCAGTTAATAACCATGGCATTCCGGAGAAATTGCCTGCATGTGGGAGTAAAGGTTACTGTTGCTTTAAGTTGTTGAAGATTTTGGTATCTTAGCATCACCAGAACCACCTACCCTGGGCATCTCAGGATGGCCTGTTTGTTCTTAGGACAACATTGTCCTTTAGCTTAAGTGACTTTTCTCTCTCAGATGTTTATTCTTCTGTGATGTATTTTTAGACAACAATGCTATTCCATCACAGTTTCCTTGATGGAAAACTTTGCACTTTTTGCCCTGAGTTACACTGAGGATGACATGGCATGGTGCAGTGACTGTTTGCAGGCAGAACCTGCAGGAGGGTTTTTGCTGAGGCTGAATTCCTCCCGGGACATGGAGAAGCACGTGGCATGCGTTAGGCAAAATGTGGCCATTGTTCCATGTCCAGGCACAGAGTTGCAGAGAACCGCTGCAGGGAGTTACATCTGATCTAATTTTTCCTCTCCTAGCCTTTTTCAGACAGCTAGAAATTTACTGTTCCATTCACTCTGTGTAGTCCAGGGAATTATACAGTTGGTCTGTGAAGCATGGTAGAGTGAAAGAGGATACAACATGAAAAATTACAATTAAATGTTCTGCTTTTCTGACACTTGTTCACATATGCAGCTCTTTTTCAGTGCTCAGTAAGCTTTGTCTCTCTTTTGTTTTAAAAGTTTATCTGAGAATCAGACTCCCTTTTCCTCAGAGAACTGGACAGAGAAAAATCCCAGTAAAATGAACAGTGTTACTGTGAATTTCAGTGGTCTGACTGATTGGAATTGAGACTTAACATCTTCTAAACTTATGTCCTGGCATAGCTTGCTCTTTTAATGTGTTTAACACCAGCTATATGGCAGGGAAATGAGAAAAATTATCTGCACAGAGGAGGCTTTTTCCTTTGAACAATAAGCAGTAATTGTTTTAAGATATCAAATTAATATAAATTATGACTAAATAGCTAAACTATTTGCTTGGCATTGAAAACTTAACCAAAACGGACAGTTCTCAAAAGTGCTGCAGAACAGTGCTAGCCCTGCAAGGTTTTTATTACTAAGATTGTAACTGAAATATTTTCCATAATTCATCTCCTCAGTGTTAGTACCTTAATACTTAGCAACTACCACTAACATTTTAAACTATTGCCCTGCTCCCTGTCAGACCTTAGTGCCAAATATGGCTTCTGGCAGTCCTTTCCTGCAAAGAAACCAAGAAAGGGAGAAGTTAGAATGGGAAGAAGCCTGCAACATAGATGTAGTGCCAGCATAGAGTTATACCCAACCTTTCTTCTCGGATGCCTGTCCCACAGGGTTAACCCCTGTTAATCTTCACGGAGCCACTGGAGTTGGGGAGTCAGTAGCCCGTATCTCTGTGCTGACTCTGGGTCATTGGTGCTATCCTTCATCCTGCAAGTCCCATAACAGTGATGGAAATTTCTTTAGGGTCCTTAAGGGCTTTGGCAGTGGTTAGTCTCACTTCTCCTCCAGCTCTGTGCAGGGATGGAAGAAATGATCTGTGTTTTCCTTTCCATCCCTATCTTGTGCATTAATTTCCCTGGTGACTGAGTTTATTGCTACAGGAGGCTCAGTTTGTCCCTCCACAATTTTCAAGGAGCAGGAAAAGTCGGTTGGCACATAAGCATATTTGAGGCTGCGGCAATGAGGAATCACAGTAACTGAACTATAGCAGAAACTTCAGCTCATTTAACTAAGCATTGATTTTATTTACAATGCATAGAATTTCTTCTTGTTGCTTCTACTCTTACATTTCTGTAGAAGCTCTTTAGCTGCAAGGTGG